TTAGAAATCATTTGTAAAACAAACTACTACTGTTACAAATGTATATTCAAAGTAATAAAAACAGGTTGTCCAAATAATTCTGAGAGCACAATGTGCTTAAAACTCTTCTTTTTCTTTTACTTAACATGAAACAAAGAAGGTTCATTTGTTAGCATACAACCGAGCTTAGATTTTATACCAGTTAATAATGTTAAAAATAATCAGATTTCTAAGAATAAAACCATTATTTATTATACTAACCTTTATTTATTTCAGAGTGTCTGTCCTCCACGGCTCTGAGGAAGGTGTCACGCCGGTGTCACAGCAGAGCGAGCTGCTCACTGGTGGCTGACACCCAAACCTTTGGGGACCCGTGTTTCCCCGGCACCAGGAAACACCTGCGGGTGTCCTTCACTTGTGGTACGTTACAAACTAGATGTTACTGCATACAGCACCTCCTTAAAATACATTTATTTATATCTTAGGGACATTTCAGAAATGTTACCTCAAAAACGTTCAAACTCCTACACGTAATGGTTCTATACAACTGTATTTTATTGTGCATTTTAATATGAAATGCGTCTATCAAATTGACTTCTCTTATTGCACTATTTTAATGCTTTTAACACAACTGTCTATTATATAACATCTTAATTATCCTAATCTGTCTATCAAATTAAATTCTCCAATTGATTCTTTTTTTTTTAATAATAGTTTCCCATTTTCTCTCTAAGTATAGCTATGAGTTGTTTTTTAGTTTTCCTTTAATATTATTTTGTAATTCACTGTTATTGTAAATACATGTTGATGCTCAACTCAAATGTAAATAAAGTTTAAATTATTAAATGTACGCTTCACCTTCAAAAATGTCAAATGTTCTATTTAGTGCCCCGGTATCTTCTGGAAGATGTGAGTCGAGGGTCAACTGATCCTTTCATGATCTCAGACTACACACATGGTGAGAGAAAAACTCCAAATGCACAGGTTTTTGCAACATGCAGCAGACTTTGACTGGTGTCTGAGCCCAGACCCCTCTCACCTGCAGGCGGATGGTACACTGGCCCCACCTACAGGCCTCATAACGTGCTCTTAACCAACTCTCTGGAGATCATTGAAAAAATGTTGGGTATGTGCAGTGACGCCTGTAGACCTCAGGCTATAGGGTTGCATGTATGTACATGTAGATCATACTTTAAAAAGGCCTGTAAGTTTGGATTGCATGTTTTAGTCCTACACAATTGACACAAAGCAAAGGAAATAATTAGAAGTGTATAAACCTATATATTTCTTCTTCTCTGCATTGTGGAGCTCTCCTAAATTTGTCTATGTAGTAATACAGAATGTGCACAAATATTCAGATGACTGCTTACTATTTTCTAAATGATGCCGTAGATTTTTGTGTTGATCCTTACATTAGTCAGCCTTATGCTCCCTTTCAGTTGATTATAGTACATTAAAATGAAGCGGCACATGCATGAAAGCTATTAAAGTCTTTTTTTACATCATCATAGAAAGGTTATACAGTTTAAAGCATGATAAGCTTTTTTTTATTCTCTTATTATCCAGAGCCAACTCTGAAATCTTAAATGTTGAATATCTCTATTTGCACACAAGCTTACTGGTTAAAAGTGTACAAAACAATGTAAATACTTATGGCCAGGTTGTTTAGCAGGATGGATATCTGTGTATTTTCAGTGTCTCATGCCACATTTTGATTTTAGTGTGATTCGCAATCATCACACGTCTCATTCTCCCTCAGATTTCCCAGAGCGAGTGGCTCTGTACTTTGTGGTTGGCATCTGTGCTGGTCTGGTTTTCCTGCTCTGCCTGTTTGGTGTACGCTCCACACTGGTGAGGGATGTTAAAGATCTGGTTTCTGACCTGAAGGAGGAGCTGGAAGCTTCTCGCAGGAAACGAAAGGAACTCATGCAGGATCTCTTTGACGATGACATCTCAGACACGGCGTCCTTCCGTTGCCTGACACAATCCTACCGCAAGACAGAAATCCTCAGTCCTTCAAATTTGACGGTCGAGATGGTTGAACGTGAGGTGGAACAGACGAGGGATCTGCCCAACGGAGACATTTGGCCACATCGAGACTCCAGCCCTTATGCCATTCATAAGATTAAAACCTACAACAACTGAGAGAAGTCACATGTACAGTTAAAACTATTGCTAAATAATCCTTCTGATTATATTAAAGTTTTGGACTGAAATTGACTTTCAAAATAATGAAACTTTTTTATCCATGTTTTGTCATTTTTGTCAAAGTGACTATTAACAATAAAGAGTTAAATACAACGTGTTACATGAATTGGTTATGAAGATTAACAGTAGAAGATTTGTTCATGAAGGTATTTATTTATGAAATGTAACAAATGGGACAAATGATTAGGCCTCGGGAAGTTTTCTGCATATTTGTTTTGGTTTTAAGATGTCACATACAATGTCAAACCAGTATAGTGTACAATCAACATTGTAAATAATAATAGTTGTTTTAGTAGGGTGAGAAATTAGGTATATTTTCTAAGTGATGTTTCCTAGAAAGTCCTTGCACAAATGTAGATGCTTTATTTGAGTAAAAGTTACAAACCATTCTTTAAAAATACTACAATGCCTACTAATAAAAAATGTTAAAGCCCTGAATTCAAAATATTGTTTAATATTTTCAGCAAAATGTTTTGGGTGTGAAAAGTACAAAATATTCATCATGAAAAATTACACTTTTTAAAAGTGATAATTTATTAGGAATCCTTATTTTTTTATTAGGAGTTTTTTTTTATGTTGTAGCTGGTAAGGTGTGGCAAAAAAAAGAAAAGAAAAGAATGTATATGTACTGCATTTAGCTCAATAGCCTGATACTGCATCACATTTAAAAAAATTGATCATACATATTGTATCTAACACCTCAAGTATAGCTGTCAAATGAATGTAGGAGAGCAACAAATGCTATTTTTTTTTTTACTGAAGTTGCCAGAAGCCAAATTAGGCTGCCTCAATTGATTTAACACTGGCATACTCCCACACTCCCAAAAGAAGACACACAGATTAAGCGTACATTTGATATTCTTATGAATTTACGAAATTGCACATGATTTTCTTCACGGCTGATAGCTGCATTTAGTTTCCTACCCACACTCCAGGACAGAAGGTGGCGTTATTTAGCTCATACTTGTTGCCACCCGCCGCCAGAAATCCAGATGATGAAGCCGAATAACTGAGCAGGGAGAGGGCATGAGAAGAAGGGGAGTGAACCTCCCAAACTCTCGGTAACTAGCTAGCTTCCATCAGCCTCAATTTACAAGACATGTCGTGCTGCCAGCCTGTTCTCTGACACAGAAAGGAAAACTGATACTCAGCTGTTTTTGTAAGAATGGCGCACACTAACTGGGATACTCTGATGTCTTGACTCTGTTGAACATCTACACACGTCCAGCGACAACAACCACCGCTGGCTAACATCGGTTAGCATTAGCACCCGACTACCGAACAGCTGTCATCCCGGAAGGCCGCCGCCGCACCGGTTCGGAATTTAACTTTCTCTCTCCGTGTCTGGACTCAAATAACACTAACCCATGATAAATAGCCATTTGTCATATATCGGTAAGGATGGAGTCCTCTCTGGGAATATGCAGCGAGGATTGTTTGGCAATATCCTTTTTGAGTTATTTTACAGCCTTGTTTTCAGTGCATGTTGTCAATTTGCTTTACCGTTAGCTTGTTGGCTAACATTAGCTCTAACGTCAGTTAGCAATGCAGCTAACTTGTATTTGATAACCAGACACGTTCTGTAGTGTACGAGCTAGGTTACTCGTGTGAGTGTATTCACATGGTTATTTTATAAATGCAGTTTATTTTTGTATCAGTTCACTTCCAACCACATATATGCAGTGGTGTCAACAAGTAACTAAGTACATGTACTCAAGTAATGTACCTAAATACAATTGTTAAGGTACTTCACTTAAATGTCGTACTAATTGAGACTTCTACCCCACAAACATTCAGGAGGTAAATAATGTAATTGTACTCCAATTAATTTATGTAGTACCTTTTAGTTACTTTTCAGATATAGATTATTCATAAACGATTTTAGACACTCCTGGATTACATTCACAATTAGTTGAAAGTAGTTATACCATGGCCAGCTATGAAAAGTAGTAACATTTGGATACAGGACTTTTACTTGTAACAGAGTATTCCTACATTTTGCATTTCTACTTTTACGTACAAGACTTGAGTACTTCTTCCTCCTCTGCTGCATTGTAGTAGCTAGTTTGCTCATATGAGTGTATTAACATGGTTATTTTATAGATACAGTTTATTTTTTAATCAGGTCACTACTAACCACACCAATATGACCAGTCTCATTTAGTTAAATCAACTAAATCCTCATGTTTTTAAGCAGAATAACGTTATTTGTCTTTTTTAAAGGTTCATCAGCTAAACACCTTTGCCGCTCTTTTGTTCTGTGCCTTATGAATTGACATGTATCAAATAAATGTGCCTTTTAATGTTCAACCAGCATGGCTTCATTAACTCTGATTATCCTCAATCTAACCACACGCAAACTAACTAATAATCCTGAAATGACACCTTTGCTCTCTCTGTCTGCCTGCGGTTAGTTAAAAATAAAATCTCAGTGCTTGTGATGTCCAGGCGCCTTTTCCCCCCTCAGTAATGATGATTCCTTGATTGTGTTGCTCACACTGTGAAAGCTCAGGAGCTGAGGGCTGGTCAGAAGGAGCCCAGACTTCTGTCTCTAATTGAGCGCAGTGGAGAATTTATGTAAGTACCAGAGAACCTGATGGCTGACAATCTTAGTATTTTTGTCAGGCAGTAGATACATTGAGTAAGATATTTAAGGATTTAAAGCATTCCTGAACAGCTTGATATTTTAGATGTTTCTCTGCAGCATCGGCTTCCCTTATAGGTTTTGCTTTATTCTTGTCAAATCACACTTTTTTTTGACAACTTATTTTCGTTGTTTGAATGTAAATACTCGCTGTTTGTCTTATGGGCATTGTGTATAAGTGTTGGTTGTCTTGTCTAATCAAATGAATAGATTAGATAGATAGGCATTACAAAATAATTATATTGTGAGAGACGGTTTGCGTGGCTATATCCCTCCGGTCAGGTGTACTTTCAGAAAAAACATCAGGAATATGTAGCTTTTTAAGGTGAAAAGGGTCGGTTTATCTTGTGTTGTACATGGTCAGACAGAAGCTGAGGACCGATAACAAATGGGCTATGTTATAGTGGAAACAAGGTTCAGTATCTCCAGTGATAAGAAATGTGTTGCTGCATGCATCACTCTTCATAGACTAAGCTTACGGACAATCCTTGCTGCTGTTTACTTACAGGATTTGAATTTGTCATGGCAGCTTCAGCTTTTGATTTGAAGAGAGGATGTTGCGGGTGTGATAAACTATCAGTGTTTGTGTTTGCAGCACACTTTAATGCGTGGCGGCAACTAGCATGAAGGAGAAAGCAATTACCCCTACCAGCAGTCAGCTCAACCGTTATCCAGAATTCCTCAGTTTTAGTCCTCCTGGAGTGTAATGAGACTCACATGTGCTCCGTCCTCAGCTAACCGTGTTAAAACCACACACACCAAACTCGAGTCATGGAGACTCCAAGCTGTCAGGGTTTCAGTTGGTGCTTTACGGATATTATATAAAATATAGCCGGCCCAGAAGCCTGTCAAAGTGACATTTTTCAGCAAAAAAACCCAGAATAAGCACATCACTGCACATCACTGCTCCTAGTACTAGGATGGGTTAAATGCAGAGGCCACATTTCACTGTGTGCTGTGTGCTCTGCATGTGGGACCATTAAAGAGGGTTTTATCCCTCCCAATTCTATTCTATTTTATTCTTCTACCAAATGCAACAACCCTACAAGTTGGAGTGTCTGAAGAATTTGTGTTTATTTTTATGCCACATATATGTATTGTTAATGCAATATCTCATTAAGGTTAGAGTTAATTAATGATATAATTTCAAGACTTATGTTTGCCACAATTCATATTTTAATAGACTTTAACGCTGATGCAGGACTTTTTGAAGCTATATTACATTTATAAAACAAGTATTTAATGCTGCTAACAGTGTCATACAGTGTTATTTTTCTTATTATTTAGTTAACGACCTCATTGGTCAGTTGTTGATTGTCATGACGCTTTCGACATCAGACTCTGGAGATCTGCACTCTGACACAGCAGAAGCGATGAATCATTTTCCCGTCTTCAACAGTAATCAGAGTTATTGTGAAGCTAAGGGGAAGCGTGGGCAGTGTCCAGCGAGCAGCTCTGACCCTGGCTCTTAGTCAGCCATTGATAGAGAGTGAAATATGACCTCGCCCACAATAACACCCACACCCCAGATTTAAAGATGTTCATATGAATTATTTAACTACCCAAAGTGTAGCTTCTCAGAATATGTGCTAGGTTGCTACACTGGACTTTTATTAACAAGACTTGACTGAAGCAAAACGCTTGATAGTTAATGTTTGCATATTCAACTAAATCACCTTGACTGCTTGCTAGACTAAAGGAGGCTTTTGCATGTGTGCATGTGCGTTTCAGATTTGTGTAAGTATAGAATTCACATTTTAATCAATGGATGATTACAATCTAATCCTTACTACATTTACTCATATCATAAATGTTCAGTGCATGAAACACAATTCTAATTGCAAGAAACTGGCTATTATGAAATATAAGAATAATAAAAGAAATAGCTGCAGACAGTCTGTATATGCTTTGTGATGTAGATGTTTTAATTTAATTTAAGATTATTAAAGACATTGTCTCAGACTTGATGTTAAGTCTATGCTGTTCTCACGTAGATTTCGTGTTTTCGCCAACCCTGATGCTGTTGTGTCTCGTCCAGTCGCTGAGCTGTCTATACCCATCAATGGTCACTTTGACATTTTGCAAGGTATGTGACTTCTTCCCCCCTAATATCAAGTTCACAATATTTGAAGGTCTGTAAAGTATAATCAAATGTTGTCAGCTGCTACAAACTTTCCTTCATGTTTATAGAGATTATCCTCACCTTACCTACTACTACTACTACTACTACTACTACTACTACTACTACTACAACAATTTTTATGTTTTGCTGATAACTACTGTAGTGTTAAAGTGAAAGTCCAAAGAGCTTTTCCAGTCGACTTGGAAAACGACAATTACAACTTGAGTTTGAAATAATTTATAACCACTCTGGTTTACTCCCACAACCAACCTTTGAACTGCACCGTTTAAATGATCGTGCCGCTTTCTTTTCAGAGGCTGCCGAGGCTCTTCTTATTAACTTAGAAACATGTAAGTATGACTTACCTATCTTCACATTTAACTGTTGACTCTTTCTGCTGTGTTTTCAAACAGAGATTATGCAGATAATATGGCCTTAATTGTGGAAACAAAAGAGAGCTAAACATGGCATTTGCTACAACACACACCCGCATTTTTAGAGCATGTCTTCAGCCAAATGCTCTGTATTTAGTAGCAGACGCTTGTCATGGGTAACCAGGGCTATTTGAAAGAATGCCGTGTTGGTTCACTTTAAATCACTATGCTTTGTTTTCTAGACAGTAGGCATTTGAATGTGTATGCAAAACCTAAAGGTGTCCAACATGTGTGTGAGTGTGTGTGTTCTCTGTACTCCTCTCCAGCTTGCATTAGGATACGAATCAAAGGCGAGAAAGCTCCAGAGCTGCTGTTAGAGCTGCAGAACGATGATCGGACTCAGACCTTCCTCATCCAGGTGAAGAGTGCTCGGCAACAAGGTAAGACTTCACTGTCTGTAGTCTAAGGCTGTTGGGTGATTAATTATTAAACCACTCATCTAACATTCATTCACTGAGGGTGGGTTACAGCGCTCACTGATTTCCTGTGTGTACTTGCCGTCCACACGGTTGTGGAGAGTCTCTTTGAAATCAGATCCCCCTTTAAAGAAGCCCCAGGCTTACGTCAATGTGCTTTCCTTCTTACATTCATATTGTAGCCGTGTTACTCGTACTCCTGAACTGCAAACTGTGGCAACTATTTCTAAAATCTTAAAATATCATGACGTTGTTAAGGTTTATAATACTCGATACAGAGGTACCTGTGATTGTCTTATTGTAAATGCTTAAAGAATAGTTTTAACATGGGTTTTGCCTAATTGCATTTCTGATGTGAATGTTAAGTGTTTTTAATAAGATGCTAGTTTAAGTTGCTACCACACTAAGCTGTACCCTCGAGAAATAATGCCTTTTGTTCCGGTATGGACACGGGTCAGTGAGCTGTTAATTATTTCTGTACTCAGAACCTGTTCATCCTGTTCCTTCATCCTGTTCCTCTCTTACTACTTTGATAGCTCTCATTCTTTCTTTAGTTGATAACTGTTTCCTAGTAATCAGTGATATTACAGTGGAACATTGGCCTCTTTACTCTTTTTTGGCAACAAGCCAGTTGGAGCCGCTGGTGTACTCTACTTGACAACATTGCTCTTATGGGTGTTGGCTTATTTTTTTATATCTGTGGTCATATTTACATTCAGTGAGGTCAGCTGAAACAGGATGTGCACGTTGAGTCAGAGGTTCAAAAAAACATCCATCCTTCATGAGCAAGCTGTAACACATTTCATTGTATATTTTTAACACTCCTTAAAATGATCACTAGAAAGATGTCACTTCTGGATGAGTACGTTTGTGTTGATCGTACTTTTGCTTCATACTGACAAAGCTGTTTTTTCCCAGTTGAATCCATACTCAAGAAACCCAAAACCATGGAGCCCCTTGCACCAACAGTCCTGAGGGGCCCAGTCCCCATCCCACCGCAGAGAGCAAACAAGACGGTGAACTCAGTGGGCTCTGGGGTCAACCCCCCCAAATGTACCACTGCACTGCCTCCCAACCTCAACAATAGCAGGTCAACTAATAAGACAGGTAATGTACACATGTACTGTGGTAACTTTTAGAAAAATCCATCACTTAACAAAAATCGTATTTGGAAGCTACCATAAAGAGGCCCTCTTTGGGGTTTTCCCTTCCCTGAAGTGTGTTAGAAGAATTAGAATTGGGAGAGATGAAACCCTCTTTAATGGTCACACATGCTGCACACGATACACACGGCACACACACTGACATTTGTTCTCTGATTTTAACCCGTCCTAGCACCAGGAGTCTAGTACTAGGAGCAGTGGGCAGGTATTGTACAGCGCCCAGGGAGCAATGGGAGTGAGGGGGGAAGGGGGGTGTCCGGTGTCTTGCTCAAGGGCAGAACGGCAGGGCCTAGGAGGTGGACTGGGACCTCTCCAAGTAACAGTCCACACTCCATATTTTAGGTCTGGTCGGGGACTTGAACCGGTGACCCTACAGCTCCCAGTCCAAGCCCCTACTGACTGATCCACTGCCGTTATAGGTGTTATAGGTTGCTCTAAAATTGTATCTTCCTTTGTCATTTCCTGTTTCTGAAGATCCAGTTCAATCACTCGCGTCAGACTTTGGCTTCGAGGACAACTTCAACCACGCTCTCAAAGTGGAGGAGAAGAAGAACCACCAGAACCGCATAGTTGCTGTTAGAGATCCTCCTCCGGTTCCCCCTCTACCTCCTCGCAAAGCCTCCCAGGCTCCATCCAATCCTCTGCCTCCTCCACCAATCCCTAAAGACAGAGCTGTCTCCCTACACACCAGAGAAAACTCCCGACCGGAGTAAGTTGACCTTTCATTACACCGTGTCAGGTTTACTGCAAACACTGGAGCTGGCTAAATATAGTTTCTGTTAAAAACTGTTCGGATTTTATATATGTGACTTGACTCCAGGAGGCTCATTATCCCAAAGTGAAGTATGTCTTTATTTCCGGTGCTAAATCATAATGACTTTTTCCATTGCAGTAGTTTCAGGTCAGGGTTTGACCGCGGCGACAGGCCCATGTCTTGGTGTGAAAGCCCCACCACCAACAGCATGAGACAGGCCATGTTCTCCAGCCAGGCGGGACAGAGAGAATACCTCATCAAGCACCGCCTGGGCAAGAAGGAGAACGAGTTCGTGGACATCCAGAACTTCAGGTGAGAGCAGCAGCTTCATGATCGATCGATCAATCAAACTGTATTGATTGAGCTTTTTTCATACACAAAAGGTGACACAAAATGCTTCGCAAACAAACAATTATCAACCCCATCTTCCTCCAAATCCATAGACAGAGAAACTTTGTTCTTATCAAAAGCACTTTATAACAACAAAATAAGATTACATTAAGTTAAATTAAAAGCCTCAAATAAAATGTTAAAAGTATGAACATTCTGGTGATAAAGACAATGCTGCTCCTGGACACTTTAACCCCACACTGTGCATTAATACTGCTTTTGTTTTTTTTAAAGGATTTTCACAGGAACGTGGAACGTGAACGGCCAGGCTCCGGACAGCAGCCTCGAGCCGTGGCTCTGCAGCGACACAGAGCCTCCAGATCTCTATGCTCTGGGGTCAGTGAGAATATAACTTACAGTACCTTTTCTGAACATGAAGTCATGCATATCGTTTAATACTTTTGCTTCACTAACACCCATTATGGTGACTTGGTTTATGACTGCAGTTTTCAAGAGTTGGACCTGAGCACTGAAGCTTTCTTCTACATGGACTCATCCAAAGAGCAGCTGTGGGTCGAAGCTATAGAGAGGTGCTTGCCCTCCAAATTCAAGTACAAAAGGGTGAGTAGAGGAGGGGAGGAAAACCTTTTAAGAGAAGAATCGGTGACAATGTGTAGGGCTTGGCTTGTTGCAAAAGCAAATTTGATAAAAGCTCCATAAAAATGCAGCCATTTGTGGTCCTTTGATGGTGATAAAAGAATATGTTTCTTTTTTTATTTGAACATGAAAAATAACAGTAAATGTCTATAAATATAAGTTCTTCAATATTAAGAATCTTAAAAAATGAATAAACATGATAGACAAATATTACAAAGATTAAAGCTCCCATGTCATGCTTTTCCGGTTTTTACCCGTCCCCTTGTGTGTTATGAAGGTTTTTCTGCATGTAAACGGTCTGCAGAGTCAAAACCCTCAAAGTACACCCTGTAGCGAGTAAAACTCTAACACAGAAAATACCTCCCCAAAACGCCTCGTTGGTGAAACGTCATCATCCATTTGATTCTTCCGGGTAGGTGCTTACGAAAGCACGTACCCGGAACTAAATGGGTCAATCCGCGGAGCCGTTACGTTAAGCCCCCGCTGATTGGTCCTAATTGACCAATCCACACACACACTCAGTGCATGCAGCTCTGCTGATTTCTCCTCCCTGGCTGCAGGCTGATAACAGACAGTTGGGATCGCGGCGAAATTCTCTCTGCAGACCCATTCTCACAGCGTTTATCAACCTTTTTCTTACTCAATATCAAGCCACACTTATTGTTTNTACAATAGTCTTAAACATTAAAAGAGATGATTCGTAGAGATGGCAAATTTCCAACAATATACATTTGTAACAGTAGTAGTTTGTTTTACAAATGATTTCTAAATTTGCCATCTCTACGAATCATCTCTTTTAATGTTTAAGACTATTGTATTTATGTACACATCATCCTTGATATAACTAAACTAAACCAAACTAAAATAATAGGACCCACTAATTACTCCCCACTTATGCCTAGAACTGATATTTGTTCCACTATATTTTCACTAGCAGAGAAGGAGCAGGTTTCAGACCCATGTCATTGTGTGATCCAGGTTCCTGAGGACAGTGAGGACTGCCGTGCAGCAGGTGTCCGAACGAGGCTGAGTAGATGGCGAGGACGGTGTCGTTTTTACAAGTCAGCCTCAGACGCTCATTCTCACACACCAGCCTGCTGCGGTGGTGCTCTGAAGAACAGATAACATATAAACACCATTAAAGAAAGGAGTATTTCCATGCAAATTTCGTAAGTAGACTTGGCATGTTTTAGCTCATGAGTGACATATTTTGTGTGAAGACTAGGCTCCCTGTCGCAATATACCGATAAAGATCATAATTCAATTTTATAAAACCGAAATAATAATATTATGTTAACTATCAAAATATGATAATATAGTGTGTAGATAATCCAGTACCTCTTAAATCACAAATCAAATCCTACATTTCCATGTCCAAATGCAGAATTTCCTTTGTTCCCTTTTTTTTTTTAGGTATGCTTTGCTTTTGAGTGTCGTAATACGTTTTTCTGCTGCCCCTGTCCACAGCAGTATATACTTAGTAAATTATGTCAGTTTTTACAAACAGGGGAATGCTGCCCGCGATCTACAGTAAATAGTACACTGACTATGGATAAGTAGCCTATTCAACCCCACTTCACAACATTCAAACTATCTCTGTAATACGATAAAGCCTAGATTGTTTGCATGATAATCTTGAACAGGCCAAACAAATAATTCTGCTATTGCTTCATATATTTTTTTTAGCAACTAAACTGAATGAATTGTTTGCACACTGACACTACTGTTTTAGTCAATGATTCTCCACATTACAAATATAGGACCATGGCAACATACCTGGTCTGCACTTGTAGGAGACTAGAAGGTACTTGCTGGTGAGAGGACAGGGGTCCTGCCCAAACACTGGACTGAAGACAGGGATGTGACAGGACCGCCGATCCTGACACTCTGACAGCACTTTCTGCAAGGACAGGGAAACTTGTTGATTACAGTACTCTAAATCACCAGAGCATTTTGTTTTAACATAGTCTGATTTCACATTCGGGATACCTCGGTAGCGACTGGGGAAGTGCATTCGTTATCCTCCTCTGCAGTTGTGTTTGTGTTTGCAGAGGGACACAAATGCAGATTAGGTACACGTCGTCCATAGAAAGCCGAGAGGACGGCCACAGATGTCCTGGAGGGACACTTGATGATGAGCGTGTCTCCTTCACAAGCATGAGCCGTGTGGTTCTTCAAGATGTTGTGAAGGTAGACTACAATAAAAGCAGTTGGTTAGCATACAACTCCTGAAAATCTACATTACTTTTGTCCTGACACTGAGGCTATTATCTTGAACACGTGTTTTTTATCTGTCCTGGTCTAACGTGAAAAGCACATCCTGAGCGTTCTACTGATATAGCACTGAGAACATCTTGGCACGTATGGCAGTAAAAGAGATTACTGATCAAAATAAGTGGTCACATCATTTTTTTGTATTTACAAGAGTTTTAGCTCCAAATGTTAGATGTTATTTTCAAGACTCAGTCCTTTGTAAATAAAGTGGGACCTGCTTTTTCTCATTGTGAGACATTTTTGATTTTCTCAAAATATTTTATATTTGTTTCCAATATTGATCAAAGAAGGACATTGACTCAACCCTTGTATGGTGTTCGGGTCTGTGGGACCAGTTTTCATTATTTATCTAAAGAAAAATGATATCATCAATTATTTTTTCAAACTCACACTCAATGGCCTTGGCTCATTTTCTGTGAAGAACATATATCAGAACACATTTTCAATGACCACCTACTACACCCCCCCTACACATTTATATTACATACAGGATGTTCGGGTCCACTGGACCTGGGGCTAACAAAAGTGTGGAAATTGTAGGCCCTGTGTACCTACACTCGCTCCTCCTCGTGTGTGTGTGTGTGTGTGTGTGTGTGTGTGTGTGTGTGTGTGTGTGTGTGTGTGTGTATGTGGGAGACTTTTGTGTTTCTGGCCCTGCCATTCCNATTTGACGTCATCTGAACAGGACATCGCACGCTCGCTACTGTGAGGTAAAGTGTGTCGCCAATGTAACCGCTTAAAACTCGAAGTGGCGATGAGGTCTTAAAATGTATGGAAAGGGTCTTAAAAAAGGGTCTTAAAAGGAATTACATTTAACTTCAGGATTCCTGCATATACCTTGGCTATAGAGTTAATTATTACTTCCAAATCTACAACAAAAATCATTGTACAAATGTTTCTTTAACAACTGGATGCAGGCCATAATGGCGGAGGGAAAACAATTTGCACTTTGTGTTGGCATTATGAAGATGTCAGCAGACAGCATGTAAGCCTTTCTTTCACGTTTAAAAAAAGCATTAAAACATCCTTTCTGCTTCTGCTCTCTTGATGAATAATAACCTTTTTTTTTTTTCAAACAGAGAGAAAGTTAACAAGGGAATTGGTATTGAGAACGTTCATTATCTGAATGATGGATTGTGGCACATGAAGACGTATAAATGATGACATCACCACCTGCAACGCCTGCCCCCACACCCCTCCCCCACAGAAAGTGCGGTGCTCGCATGGGCTCCACGTCACCTGTTTACACCTAAGGACTTAGCTGTGTAACCTGCTGAAGGCTTTGAATTATTTGCCATTATGCACAAATAAATGAAAGATCTTGCTTTAAACCTCAATCTCAGTTATTGTTACGCATTGTATCCAGTTTTAGATGTGAACGTAGCCTCGCCCAGTCATCAATTGGTAAACATGAGAACATCGTTTTACTTTCGACTTCAGGTTAAACTTCCTGGATATGATATTAAGTTGATGTGACTGTGCTATACACAACTAAACTGTTTTGTGACAGCAATCTACAGGAGGATAACCATTACAATGTCAAGCTGTCTCAAGCACTTTTCAATGTCAAGCTCAGAGTTTCCAGCCCCTTTTAGAGACTGTTTACTTGCTATTCACGTAGTTTGTAGTTGTAATGACGTGGCCTTCACTCACTAACCAGGATCTGAGGATAGTTGCATATGAAGGAGTGGCAGAGTGAGTACAGATGTTAGACTGGTTATGCTGCTTCTATTTGCTCTGTAATGCTTTACAGTCAATTTCGATTTTTAGGTGATATTCTAAAGTCTAAGATAAATAATTCTCATACAATAGCTCAAACAAATCTACCACCATTAAGGCAACGCTCAGTTTTTCAGTTAACTTCAATATTTTATTCTCTTCTTGCCTAGTTGCAGAAAAATATGTACATTTAGTTTCAAGATTACAAGAACATATTGGTCAAGGCAAAACAGAAATGTTAACAGAGATAACAGTACATTTATTTCCCTTTTTAACAAAATTCCTTCACAGTATATACAAACCAGGTTTGCAGCAACAGCTCAACATGTAATCAGTAATTCATTTGATTTATTATCATCCAAAAGTCACATTTCTTAAAAGTACTTAGTTTGATAATCACATCTTTTTTTTAAATGAAAAGTGGAACAATGACAGCTCCACTGAAAAAGTAAAGTTGTTCAGTAACACAGGACAATAGAAATATACTGAATATTAGGGCTGCATGATATATTGTTTCAGCCATTGCAACACAGGATGTGATCATGTAAGACCAATGAACTCAACCAAGTCTTGCTCAAACTTCTTTGCTGCTTGAAACAAAGGAAAGATCACTTAATTTAACATGACTATTCTCAAAGGAAGATCTGTCTAATAGAACATAAATTACTCCAACTTTCAAATTCTTTCATACAATAATTTGTTCATAGTGAGAGATATTCAGGTTCTTCATGCACAGCAAACAACCAATCACAATCATTTTCATCAATTATTCAATCAAAAACAAAGCAGGGTCCCGAAAATGGGCAGAGAACACGAGAAAAATCGCCAAAAAAGGAAGATCAGTTCAGTAGAAATCTTTTCGGCTACAGAATCTACCTGTATGTATACTTCAACATCGTGCAGCCTTAGTGAATATACTTTCCCCAGATTTCAACACTGAGGTACATCATTGCAACTTCCAGAGAATCTAGTCTCATGGTACAAGTTTGCTAAATGTCCCTGCTCTATCTTCATTTAAAAGAACCGCACACTCATCGCCTCAGTTCAACAACACCACAAACGCATTTCAGGTGCTGATTGTGCCAACTGCAAAAGGTACAAATATACATAAAAGAGTTATTCCCACCCAGGATCCATTTTACAAACATAATTAGAAAAACATCTCAACAGTTAAGTTTGCCATCATAGAAGCAAAAAACATTTCAAATGCCACGTACATATTAAAAGGAAAGAGTCTCTAGTCGTTGTCTGAACCTTCAGGAGGTTGAAATACTAACAAGTCATGGAAGTCGTGGCCGTAAGGACGAAGTCTGTAAACTCCGAACATCATAACCTGCATTTGATTGGGCGACATATCGTTAAACGTGACTGCCAGGTCGGAGCAGCAGCCCTCCACCACATTAGTGGGGTTTTCCCTCATGCTGTCCGTTATTAAGCTGTCCACACTCTTGCTGTTAAAGAGGCCCTTTCCGTGAGAGTCTTCTCCATTCTCTGCAAACACACCAGTGTATTTGAGACACACTGCCAGCTGCTTGTCCTCACTCATCGCCCACAGGGCGTGTCCTCTTTCTGGACATTTTTCTTCATCCTGCAACACATTCACTAGCCTTTTCAGTGCTTCATAACTCAGAACGATGCCACTTTCATACGCCACATACTCCAGCTCCCCGGACTTCATAGCGTTGCCCAGGTAGAAGGGCTCCTCGGGGTCTTTTGTGAGCACCAGGTGTTTGAGGTTCTCGATGATGGCAAACGTGGTCGCTTTTGCCACAAAGAACCAGCGCAGGTCTCCGGCGTTCTCATAGGCATGGTTCAAAGCTTTACGTAGCCTCGCCCAGTCATCTTTTTCATTTAAGTCTACCGCCTCCAAAGCCTTGGAGGACTCGGAGGTGTAGAACACAGCCTTGTCACAGTGTTTAGTCCAGGTGTCCAGCGCAGCCGCCCAGTGAACCAGGATCTTTGGCTGGACCATGATGATGCAAGACACCCGGACTTGATTCACCAAATCCAGCACGTGACCGTCCAAGAGGCGAGTCAGCTCGTCTTTACTCGGGGCCTTGACGTGATGATGATGATGTTGTTCGCCCGGCCCGTGCTCTGTGGCGGGGCTGAAACTACCAAATAGTGAGAGTCCCAAGCAGAAGATGCCGCCCATGGCCATCCCCTTCATGAAAGAGCCTCCTTCAGACAACATGTTGACAGCAGACACTGGAAGGGAGAGAAATAGCCAAACATCAGCTGAAAGGGAATGCTTCTCAGAATAAACTAGGATCTTAAAATATAGTTTGATTAATCTGAATTAATCTTTAATTTTCTCACATTAAGGTTGCTCTAATGGTCTCATATTAGGCGTAAATCATTCACAGACTCTGAATTGTACAAAATGTGCGAGCTTGCATACATAGAAAAGTGAAAAAAAACATTATTACTGTCTTTACACCAGCTAGACGTTTGTTACAGAAATGATTGTAAGATTTGACTTATAAAGCCTTTCATAGAGCTTTTGCTGTAAGGGTTTCTTAATTATAAAATGACATGCTTGATAAACTAAACCTATGTAAAGTCTTTTATAACTTCATTTAATCTGGGTGAATTTCTCTAGCTGTGTGTATTTATACATATTCAACAGCTGTGTAACATGTATGTTCGTTTATCACTGGAAAGACTAAAACACTTCAGGGCAGAATTACACTAAACCTTGAAGAGTGAAAGCAGAGACACAATGCTCCACAGAGGCCATCACTTATAACCAGTTGAGCAGCTGTGAGCACATTGTGAAGTTGCATTGTTATCCACAACTCGGTATCTTGAACAAATGAGGAAGCTGCACTTACTAAATTGACATATAATTATGTGAGAAACTGTGTAGCTCATGTGTAATGCCGTGCGTGACAACTTTACTGCTGTGACAGTAGGTTTAGGAGTCCTATTTATTAATGTGCACTGTCCAATCCGACAGATAAACTAAACTATTTCTATACAACAAAGGAAATATAGTTGAGTATAAGTATATCTCGTTAAGCTTGTTTGTCTTGTGAGACAAGCTGAGCAGCCGATCAGGTCTCAGATGGATTAGACATCGTTTGGATTAGACATTACGGACATGTTATAACGTTTTATTAATGTCGACATTTGATCTATTAAGTATGAACAGCTAGCGTTAACATTAGTTCACTTCATAACATTGAATCCGAGAGTTTTTAAAGTCTTACCAGCGGATAGCTAACTGTTAGCTTCCCGTCTCCGTAGCGTTTACACTAAACGTCTTGTTAGCAACATACATAAAACAAGAAAATAATATATACTGTACCTAGCAGGAGTAATACGACCTTGTGAGAAAGTGTCCCTCTTCCGTCCTCCTTTCAGCTGCCACTGCTCCTGTTCGTCGTCAGGAGAGTTGATTAAGAGCTAGGTGCATGTTCCAAACTGACGGCAACTTCCGGCTCTGAAGTCACGTGACTCTGCTGAGGTCACATTCTTTTGTTTATGTTTTTATGATATGCTTCAAAATTAATGTTCTTTTATTTGTTTTATGTTGATCATTGTTAACTGATTGCTGGGTTGATTATGATATATTTAGGCTAAAGCTGCTGAAAAGATCAACCTTTCATATTTAATAGGGGAAAGAAATACAACTCTGTCGTGTAATATCACTTAATGTTACGTGCATTTTTGTATTTTTTTGCGCAAAAGTCCAGTTTTAATTTTGAAGATTTTAATTTGTTTGCAAAATCAACAAAACATTCCTATTTTAAATATAACAAGTTGTTATTTCTACTGATGCATGTTACTACTACTGCTAATACTACTACCAATACAATTATAATTAAACATGATATAAATTATAAAATAATAATGAATATATTCTACTACAGTACTATTATATTATGCCTATAACGTATTATGATCTAATATAGTGCCAGGTTGTATCTACAATTATTACAATGGAGCTTAATTTGACCTATTGTTATTATCTTTGAACATTTTTATATCACATTACATTTGATTTATTTTGTATATTTTTTACCGAATATATGTATAAGATCAACATTTTTCCTTTAATTCAGTGTTGAACATAGTGTGACCAGGTGTCCCGCTTTGTGAAAGAAAGGCCGGTTCACTGACGGCCTTTTATTTTTTAAACGGCATCATAAACCACCCCCCCCCCCCAAAAAAAAACAAAATTACATTAGCAAAACACTTTTATCAAAGAAAAAACTATTTAACATTAACAAAAACAAATTAACCAAATGCGAAACACTTTTACAAAGCTAGAGACACATTTACATTCTATAAAAACAAAATTACATTTTATAAAATACTTTTACGAACTGAGTCAAATGTACAAGTCTGTGAAAACAAATGCCGGTGTCGGACATAAACAAACACACCGAACACATACAATCAGAGCTGAGCACACACACACACACACACACACACACACACACACACACACACACACACACACACACACACACACACACACACACACACACACACACATCATGCGCCTTGGTGACCAGACATCTCCTTCATAAAACTAATAATAAGGCGTAATAATCGGGCAGTTCGATGTGTGTGTGTGGAGGTGTGTGTGGTTAAAACTTAGCAGCCTGCAGTCGGTCTTTTGCTTTTCTAATGAAGGCAAACACAGTGAAGGCGGTGCGTAAAAGACACAACTCCACTTCCTACTTGGTGAACCGATAACTTTCGCACGAAAAAGTATATTGTGGTGACCAAACCATGTCACTTGGCCCAGGTGGTTTCCACAGAACGGACAAAACATGTTTAACGACCATAAACACACTCGTACCATCCATAGACCGGCGGTCTATTCGCCAAAACAAACTTAAGTTTGTGTCAATCACTTGCACGTCACTTCTGGTATGATGGACAATGCCTTTCTGGTTTGATTCTGTAGTTGGTTAAAGTTTTTCCGCAAATGTTAAAGTGTTTCGGGACTTGTGCATTTGTCTCAGTTCTCGTAAAAGTGTTTCGCTAATGTAAATGTTTTATAAAATGTAATTTTGTTTTATAAAATGTAAATGTGTCTCTAGCTTTGTAAAAGTGTTTCGCAGTTTGTTAATTTGTTTTTGTTAATGTTAAATACTTTTTTCTTTGGTAAAAGTGTTTTGCTAATGTAATTTTGTTTTATACAATGTACATGCGCCACTCACTGTTGCATCTTGATATAATGTTTTCAGATGTTATTCACAGCCATTCCTGCAGAACAGATTGTTACTCTACATAATTTACATTTTTTTACCATAGTTTGAATGCACAAAATGTGACTTTAAATTCATTAGCTGAACAAATCAAAAATAAATCCTGTATGAGGTTTTGACAGGGACTCAATTATTTCCTTTTCCTGATGAGTAATATATCTAGTAATTTAAAGTCACGGCTTGACCTTAAAACCAAACTTTGCTGTACTTTTACCTTTTCTCATTGACTGCACTGCAGACAGATGTATCAAATGTTGTTGTTTCCATCGATGTGGAGACAACCTTATAAATCACCTGATAACACGCACACTCATCTGAAGAGCATTAGGTGCCTTTCAGTTTGACAAAAAGCCTCCTTGAAAAGCCAAAAACTCTTGACTTGTTTTAATCTTTTTTATTTTTAGAAACAAGCCTTAACGAAAACAAGTAATACATTAATCAGAATCAGAAATCCTTTATTAGTCCCAGACTCCCATAGGAAATGTAAGGTTGTTACAGCGAAAAGTGGCATAGCAGATATAAAAATACATCCAATAATAAAGAATACAATTTCGAGAAGAGAAGCACACATTAATAATACAAATAAAATGTAATAACAAATAATTAGGTTATGGTTATTACACATCCATGGCTAAAAATGATGAGCAGCAACTTAAGAACTTATTGACAGATGTAATGTTAGGTGTCGAGACTTTATAACAAATGTTGGGACATTCATTACAATTAAGGTTTTTCACATAAAGGTGATTATTGATCAAACTCAAACTGTAATTTTTTCCAATGGACACGTGACACCGCCTGTTCTCTCAAATACCTTTCATTAAAGGTGCAGCGTTTTAAACTCATATTTGTTCTTCATAAGGCAGAGGGGAGTTGTTGGGCTTTGCATCTGAAAACGAGAGATCTGCAATGTGAAAAGATTCTTCCTGAGGCCATCAGGGCTGACCTCTGACCCTTGGCCTTGTCTGACACTTGTAATCTCCATAGATGTTTTTTTTTAGATCATTTTTTTAAGGTGGTATGGCTCTAAAACATTAAATATCTCAACAGTTATCAGACTGATTGCCAATGAATCTCTTGGAGATATCCATTTATATATTTAATGACTTTTAACGTTAATATAGCGCCATCATCAAACCAACATTTTAATTTGATGATTTTCTTTCTATCCTTACATTTCTATCAAATCCCAATTTTTTTCTTGTAAGTCTTTGTAGGCACAGTTTTTTTATTATATAGAGAACAAAAAAGCCATCTTTGTAAAGAGCATTGTAGAGAAGAGAAAACAAGACATTTAACACATTTAATCAAATAGACAATAACAGTTTACATTAAAGACAGAAGATGATAACAGCGAACAAAATAAAAATAAAAACAAAATCCTTTCTGAAAGAAAATATAAAGTATAACAAAAATAATGGGTAAAAAAGTCAGAACAGTAAAAGGAAAAAGACAGATTAAAGCAGGGACAATGGAGCAGTTGACAAATAAACATTTTAATCTTATTTTTCACACACATTTTACTTTTTGCCATTATTTTGATGTAGTCGGGCCAATGTGCGAAATGTGACTTATACACCGAAAGCAGCAGGGTAAGAAGCCTTCAGAAAACTTAAATATACTTATTTCGAACAGTAACAATAAAAATGGAAATCTTTAGAGAAATTAAATATTGAGGTGACGGGAAACCATTAAACATTCAACATTTGCAAAGTATTCACCACACTGTGACATGTTTGATTCATCAGACAGTCATAATTAACAGAAATGTCAGTCATTCAACCCAAAGTGACATAGAAACCAACAGTGACATCTTTCCAGCAGCTGTGTACCTGAGACATGAGCGATGACACGTTTGAGCAGCCCATCACACAGAAACATGTCCGACATAAAGCATCAGAGCTCTGGACAGCCGCTGATTACTGCTGCAGAGTAAACATTTGTTAGGCCTCTCTGTACAAGTACAGATAGTCCCCGGCTCAATTCACAGGGGCCCCTAAATTGTGTCTGTGACGCCTGATCCATCGTGTCAAAACCATTAAGAAGGACACTGGGTGTGATGATAATGTATCGATCAGGTTGTGATGGATGGCCACTGAGGATATATAAGTGAAGTTCTCTACCGAGCAGAGTTATAATCCAGATCTGACCATCTAGAGATAGAGGCACCATGATTTCTGTCGCTGTGTTTTATATCTTGGCTGTGATTTGTTCTGCAAGACGGACACATGCGCTACCTCTCTACCCCGACACCGACCTGGAGCCACAGGCAGGTAAGACTCTTCTGATATTGTTGCATTTAATTTAAAATGCTGCACTCTTAAGGGCAATTTGACTATTTTAAATTGGACACTTTGCATGTCTGCTTTAATGCATTTATGTGATAAATGTATCTGAATGATGATACACAACACAATTGATCTAATCTTCATTCATATTATTCCTAATTTTCCTTTGAGGTTATTATCTTTACTCAAATATTTGTATTCTTACATGCTCTTTAAGATATGGTTTTGAAAAATGATGCAAAAATACATTTGACAAGTTATTCTGTTCAACTCACTGCAGGGATATTAATCTCATAATGACAGGCTGAAGTAAAAGCACATTCTCTTTTTAAATTTCCACAGATTTCATTCAGAAATTAGTGTCAGAGGTGGATGATGGACCCAACATGGCTGAGGGGGAGCAGAGAGAGGTGAATAATCTGTATCCTCTACTGATGCAGCACAATGGAGGAAGGGAGTCTTGGAATAAAGGTACAAATAATACAAATATCTTGCCGATAAATGGTCACAAAATGGTTATAATATAAGATAATGACTGCACTTCTATTTTTATGTTTTGAAGGTGCTAAAGATTCAATACAACAAGACAAGTTTGCAAACATGGTAAGGCTGATAATCTACTTCTTCTACTTTAAGAAAGTATTTAAAAGCATTGTATTTCTTTATAGCAATTCAAAGAAGTTAAAAGTGAAATTGCGTAGAAGAAAAAGTAGTCACTGAGGCAACAAGATGAATTCAACCTGAAGGCTGTTTTGTGGGGCTGAAAATAAATTCTGATTATTTTTATAAATCTATAAAGTATTTCAGAATCTGAGATTGAACTAATTTATGCAGGAACTAAGCCACACATTTCTTTAAGAGTAATCCTTAAAATAAATATATGAATAACTGTGAACAGGTTAAAATAAGGAGGTAAATGTGATCACT